AGATGGCTCAGAAGCAACTTGTCAAATATGTGACATGACGTTTCGAACAAAAGGCTCTACATCTTCGATAAATAAACATCTGCGAATTATTCATGGCATGATTGAAGATAATACTCAAGCAAAAAAACGCAGGTTCGATAAATTATCTACTCAAAGCAACATTATGTACAATAACGCAAACAAGCGTAAAAAATTAATATTCTAGTAATCTATGCAGTTTAGTTGCATGCCAGTAACAAATTAATGTAGTTTTTGTATATTTCCTCTTCTTTTAGTAATGATACGCTCGAGAATGATGAATCTTGTAAAGATGACCCCTCTGGGAGACCTGCGAGTTCATCATCTTCGTGTACATCAACTGAATATTTATCAACAGATGAAATGTCCCTAAGTACAATATCGGTTGAATCTAGAAAATTGCGTTCACAGAAAAGACTTCGAGTATGTAGTAGCTTTGGGGAAATTAACGTTAATTCACGGCCATGTAGTATAGAGAGAACTGAGCTTCTTAATAAAGCTTTAGTAAAGTTAATAATATCAAATCAGCTTCCACTTTCATTTGTAAATAGTGTCGGATTTCGTCAATTTGTAAAGTTAATAGAGCCTAAGTACAAATTGCCATCTAAACCAACATTTAAAAACAGACTAATGCTTGTTTATGATGATGTACGCTTGCAAATACATGCAGAATTAAATACTGCCTTGTCTGTTTCTTGTTCAATCGATTGCTGAACTTCTAGATCTCAAGATTCTTACATCACTACAAACGTTCACTTTATAAATAACAAATGGGAAGGAAAGTGCTACAATTTAACAACAATTACAATGAATGAAGCTCGTACAAATTTAGCTAATCAAATTAACGCTATTCTAAATGAATGGGAACTAACAGAAAAAAACAATTGCAGTTGTTACTGACAATGCAGCGAATATGCTACTAGCTATCAAAAATATAAACACCGAAATAAAGACTGGCGTATTTTGTGCAGCCCATACTCTACAGCTTAGCATAAAAGAAGGCTTAAATGATCCCATAATATGTAGAATTTGCTCTACAGTAAAAAAAAATTGTATCTCTGTTCCATCACTCACATAAGGCAAGCAATGCACTTGAAGAACAACAGAACATACTCGGAATACCAGTTTTAAAATTAATTCAGAGTTGTCCCACACAATGGAACTCCACGTACTATATGCTTGATCGCTTGCTTTAGAATAGAGTTCCTGTTGAAAACAGGAGTTCCTGTTGAAAACAGGAGAGAAAACAGGTTGTTCTAGCTAACAGAGCAATTGTTTCACGTACAACAGCTGAACAATCTGCAATAACTGAGCGTGAATGGACGCTTATAAATAAATTGATTGCAGTTTTAAAACCATTGCAAGTAGCCACTACTGTTCTCTGCGGTCCCATACACCTCTTTCAATGGTAAGCCTAGTGATTCGGAGTCTAATTGACGTACACTTGGCATACTGACTCAGATTGTGAAAGCATACACAAATTAAAGTATGTAATAGCGGTTGACTTGAAAGTACGATTTGATCTTAATGACATAGATTTTGATACAATTCAAGCTCGACAAATTGCTCAGTTCCTGGACTCTCGTTACAAAAATCTGGAAAGTGAACTTGGAGAGGCAAAGCAGACTATTCGTGCACATGTACGACAACTATGTGAACGATATCAAACTAGAGATGAGAGAGAGAATCCCAATAATGTGCTAACATCGAACAGTGCTCTTGATTTCTTTTTGGAATGCAATCGAACAAG